TATGGTTGTTAAGAGTCATGTCAACTTTGCCAAGTAAAAACCAGGCGGTACTATATTTGAGCCAGTTAAAAGGTTACAGTTTTGTTTTTAAAATACAACATTTTTATGTGGTAAAAAGACATAAAATAAGTATGTTTTGGACTACTAGAAGGTGACTTCAAGGGTTTTGTTGAGAGTTTTGATGTTGTCTGAGAAGTGAGAAAAAAGGTAATTGACTGGTAATAGTAAAAAGAGGGACAAAGAGAGTGGTCTTCAAGTAAAGGTGTCTGGCTATGCCAGAATGTAGAAAAAGATTAAAGCTTAGTTTGAGAGGTATTATTGTAAGTTGTAGAAGGCTCAAGAGGATGTGAATTTTATTTGTCTTGGTTTATAGTACTACAAATAACAGGTTTGACAAAAAGTAAATGTGTTCAGAATTTGACAGTATTAGATCAGTTTTGGTAAAAGTATACATAAGATTGTACTTTGCTGCAAAATGTTTTCATTAAAATGAGATTATAGGTGATATTAAAAATAAGATACAAGTTCTTACATGTGCCGTGAACATCTGGGAGATTATACAGCACAATTTTGTTACCTATGAAAAAGCCCTTTTTGTTAAGAATATAATTTTAATAAAATAATGGCCTGTCACGTGACACCCTTGGACAAAAAACAGTGTGCCATCCAGATGAAGCCGGCTCTCTGATCCGGAATGCCAAAACCATGTTCTCCTTTTGTGCCACCCTGACTGAACATCCAGAGGTAAGGAGGTTTCCCAATATCGCTAGTTGTTCTCTTTGTAACTCAGTCGGCCCCACATGTTAGACAAAAATTACAAAGGTTTGAGAGGTTTAAGAAAATGCCCCTCAGCCAGTTAATAGAGATAGCACAAAAAGGTCTTTGAGAACTAAAAAATTTACAAAAAGATAGCCAAGGTGTTAAAATTGCTCTATGAGAAAAAACTTTTAAAAAACAGACGAGACTTTCTGGGGGCAGTTGGATACTGTAGGCTAAATTTTACTGAAAAGCTTGCCTCTATATGACTCCCATAAGGGAGAAACTCAAAATTCGCTGAACTGTACTGATGAATGTAAACAGGCCTTCCAGCAGCTCAAGCGGGCCTTGACAGAGGCCCCAGCCCTGGGACTCCCTGACGTTACCAAGCCTTTCATCTTGTTCATAGATAAACTCAGGGACATTGCCAAAAGAGTCCTAACTCAGGACATTGGCCCTTGAAAGAGGCCTATAGCCTACCTCTCCAAAAGACTTGATCCAGTAACAGGAGTATGGCCCCCTGCCTAAGAATACTAGCTACTGTGACAATGTTACTTAAGGAGACAAAGAAACTCGCTTTGGGCAAGTGATTTCTGTGGTAACCTCTCACAGTTTAGAGACTCTTATCAAAACCCCTCCTAAAAAAAAGGCTCTCAAATGCCAGAATTCTACTGTCAAGCCCTGCTTCTAGACCCAGAGTTAATGATATTCAAGACTTCTTCAGCTTTAAACCCAGCCACCCTTATGCCTGATGATGATCCGGAGGAACAAAGGACACCTCTCTCCATGAGTGCGCTGACATCCTCGAACTGCAGCAGAACCTACAGGCTGATCTTACTGACCAGCTTTTGGGAAATGCCGACAACTGTGCGATGAAAGCAGCTTCATCCAAAACGGCAAACGAGTGGCCGGGGCAACAGTGACCGCCAAAAAGGAGGTACTCTGGGTTAAGCGGGTAGAGTCTGACACTTCTGCCCAAAAGGCGGAGCTTGTTGCTTTGACTGAGAGGCTAAAACTAGCCACGGAAAAGAGGGTAAACATTTTTTTTTACTGAAGACATCCCTTTGCTACTGTACATATACGGGGAAGCCATCTAAAAATGCTCCACAGATTCTAAATTTGCTGGCAGCTGTCTAGCTGCCTCAATGGGTTGCTATTCCTTACAAGGCTCACCCAACCAGAGATGAAAAATAGCAACCACATCAGAGGGGTCAACCAAGAAAGTAACTGCTCTGATACTAGTCCTATGACCTTGTCAGAACTAGTCTACACAAAGAAAGACCTACAGTTGGCATCTCAACTTGGAATAAAGTCTCCCACCCCAAGGGGCTAATACCAGTTACCTGATAAACAAGTACTGTTACTGGAGGCACTAGGGTGGGAGCTGTTTCACCTTACAGAATTGTTCAGAACTCAGTATTTTATTCCAAAACTCTACAAACTGACCACCTCTTCGAGCTCCAGATGCCCACAGTGCTTGTTAGTCAACTCAGCCAAGAGCTCTGCGTTGGAGACCACCCGACATCAAGAAATTGTTCCAGGAGAACATTGGGAAATAGACTTCATAGACATGGTAAAACTTAATTTACAGGGACACCGCTATCTCTTGGTATTAATAAACACTTTTACTGGCTGGGTAGAGGCTTTCCCTACTAAATCTGAGTCAGCCTTAGTGGTAGTTAAAAGGCTATTACATGAGATCATACCTTGATTTGGCCTCCCACTATCAATGGGGTCCGATAATGGCCTGGCTTTCATAGCCCGAGTCACCCAAAAGTTAGCCCAGACATTAAAGATTAATTAAAACTCCACTGTGCCTATCAGCCACAAAGCTCAGGGCAAGTAGAACGTATGAACCAAAGTCTCAAGGACATTTTAGCTAAGCTGTCTTCAAAAACTGGCAATAATTGGATGAGCCTTCTTCCCTTTACACTGTTAAGAGCTAGATATACCCCATATGTTTCTAAAATTTCCCCCTTTAAAGCCATGTTTGGGAGGCCCCCGCCATTGGTTCCAAGATTGTCAGAAGACAAATTAGCTGAAATTACTAATCGAGATCTTAAGTCCCTACAGACACTCCAACCTGTGTTGGCCTGGATCCACCAGCTGTTTAGACAAAAACACTTGGACCTGCCTTCAGAGACCAAGGCCTCAAGGACTCCAGTCTTGGTTCGATGTCATCACCATGACTCACTCGAACCCCACTGGGAAAGACCTTTCACCGTGGTGCTCAGTACCCCCACTGCCATCAAGGTAGCAGGAAAAACTGCGCGGATTCACTACACTCATGTAAAGCCACTGGAAACAGCAGACAACGAGAGACATACTCAGTGGACTACACAACAGACTGGTAACCCTTAAAGTTAAAAATTGACTAAAGCATAGTTAGATTATGCTGGTCATAAACTGTTTTAGCTTGCTTGTTTTGATTTTAATAACATTGATGCCGACCTTGCATGGCGGCTTTGGTCCCCCTGTAAGCAAAAAAAAAAAAACAATTGTTAAAGATCTTTGTATGGGAGCCCCCTTTAAAAAATGTAAAACGGAATTCTCCCCTATCTCCTTCCCTTGATAAGACCATTAGTGACCTTAATCCTAATCCTAGCCATTGTCCCTTGCCTCATTAACTGGATTACCCAATTCATAAGGGGACAAGTCTCTCAGGTCAAATTAATGGTCATACGTCACCAATATGAACCCCTAGCTACAACAAACCTCTAAGATTAGAGGTCATCCACAAAAAAAAAAAAGGGGGGGGAATGAAGAGACGAAGAAAGCTCGTTCCATCTGCTGCTTCCCCTCCCCTTCTCCCTTCAAATCCAACTAGGTTAAGTTTTAACTTCCTAAAGGCCATAAAACAAAGGCCTGAGGTACTAGCTCCTGACATCCTGGGTCTTCCCTATCTGGTAGCCCCGTCACAAATTGTGTTAATTGCATCAGATTGTATTAGATTGTACATTCTTCACAGAAATAGCTTCGTTTATATCATAGTAATACCTGTAACTGTAAATGTGTGTCTTCCTTTTCCCCTGGGTAAAAGATTGATATGTTAATCAATGCTCTCATCTGTAAAGAATTGTAAAATCTTACCCAATTGATATGTTAACCATTGTTGCCCTCTACAAATAGAAAGGTTGTGGTGCTAAAGTAAGGTAATTATGTCAGGAAACTCAGAGATAAAGTCTGCTGACTATGCTAATCAAGATTGGGAAGTATGTCAGAACCAAGCCACACAGGAGCTAGGTGACCTAAAAATAAGCTGTGCAAAACAAGACAGTTAATCAACTCTGACCCACTGGTCGCCCCTCATGATCTGACCAATCACAAATGGACAAATCACCAACTGTTCTGCTCTAACTGCTATGATTGGCTTCTGTAACAATGCTTGCTTGCTTTGCGGTTTTCATCCTTAAAAACACCAGCCTTGCCCCAACTCAGGGTTCTCCGTTTCCACCTGTTTGGAGGACCCCGTGTACATGGAATAATAAAAACCCCATTGTTTTTACATGAGAGCGAGGCCCTTGGAGTCTTCCTCGCGACACCGGTCTAACACTCAAACTTGCTAGCTAGATGTGAAGGCTGAAATAAGGTGATACCCTTACTTTTTTAAAGTCAGTAATAGAAAGTAAAGGAGCTACCAACAGTAAAACAGCAAACCATCTTCCTCTCACATGTAATAACTAGGTACAAGGGTTTAACAAGTTGCTGGGCTAGGTATCAGTTTAACTCTTTAAAAGTCAAAGTCAAATGTTTTTCTACCTTCTTGTAACATGACTTTCTATGGACAGAAACCCAGTTTGTGGGATGGAACAGGTCCTAGAAGGCTTTGATTTAATATTAATAGCTTATCAGTCTTTTTTTTTTCTCTACTGAGTTTCAACATAGCATTAGAATGACATAAAAGATGGTAAGCCAATTTACTTGGCTCTGGGAACTAATTAAAAACATGAAAACTCGACTGCTTTTCCCAACAGAATCCCTTGCTCCTCTGCCCTGAAGTCCTAACGGCCTCACAGGGCCATAGTCCATACAGTGGGTCTTAGGAATTCCTCCTACGGAATACACAGTACCATGTGTAATCATCTCCTTAGAAGTCAGTGGTTTGCAGAAGGAGACTTTGAGGAGGTTGAGAAGTTCTCCATGCAGCAAAAATAAAAAGGAAACAGAAGGAAAGAACAGAGAAGAAACTTGGTGATACATTTCACAGCCATGGGTCTCAACTTACTTTATTAAGTGATGGGTATGTAAGTAACCTGAGAATATTTCACTTGTTTAACCACTCACCAATCCAATTAAATACAGGATGACTAAAACTTGCATTTTTTATTAATTTTATAAGACAACAGGAAATAAGGGCTGGGGATTTAGCTCAGTGGCTCAGGTGCTTGCCTGGTAAGCGGCAAGGTCATGAGTTTGAACTCCGGTAGCAAATTTTAAAAAAAGATAATAGGAAATTTAAAAATGAAAATTTTATCAAATTAATACAAAAATCAACTGGTTGAAATGACACCTACCTGAGCAAATCTGGATAGTAAACAAAGCTCAAAGCTGCCCAAGTGATGCTACAGGTAAACTGTTAAGTGGTTAAGACAAAGAATTTAAGACAAGGGACTTAAAAGGTCTTCAGGAATCCTCTTCAAAAATCATTATCAGAGGCAGGGGATTCAGCCCAGTGGCATAAGTGTCTGTCTGACAAGCGCTACATCGTGAGTTTGATCCCACGTACCCCCCCAAAAAAAAATCATTATCAGAGTTTAAATACAGAGACAATGGTGGGGAAAAATGACTGTAACATTGCACAATGGAGGGTCACATAAATATTTATTAAAAAAATAAAAGGACCAAAGGGCAAACACCAATTCAGTTTGAAAGAATGCATAGATTGGAAAGGTATTTTAACTGTACTAGCTTTGTTTTCAACTAACTAGTAAAATTAAAAATGCTATCTTTTTATGGTTTCACATGTAAAGTTTTTCTAAAATTATGATGTCTTGTAACCATGTTAGAATTTTAATAGTAGCAATTCTTTTAAATATAAAATAATGGTCCTTCTCTCAAACAGTGACACTTTTAAAAAATTTTTTTATTTAAAGAAAAAAAGCAAAACAGAAAAAAGAGTAGAAGTAATATAGAATTTCAAAAGAATAAACAGTAAGGAATCACTAGTTGATAGGTTACATATTGTCATCTTAGAAACAGTTATTCAAGTTACAAAATTAGAGTATACAAAGTGGACATTCAAACAGTAAAACTGCAAACAGTTCTGTTCAATAATGCAAAAAATTTAATAATATGGTTATCTGTCTTACACACTTAAACATACATGAAGTTATATCCTTTAGAGCACTTTCTTTTCCTCTCTTTTTTACAATAACAATTACACATTTTGGGTTTTATTACTCCTACAGTTCTTATTACTTTTTTTGAAGAGAATAAAATCAAATGTGACCAAACAAAATAGAGTCAGTCAAAACAAAAGGATGGACATAGTACGTGACCTAAAAACAAAATACAAGATGATCAACAATGGTTACTATAATGCCTCTTGCTATCTTCAAAAGAATTGCTCATATCATCAGGTATAATAAAATTGAACAAACCAATAAAAATGAAACATTGGAGACATTACAGGACTTCAAAAGAAGATAATAGTCAAACCAGAATGGGTATCACAGTGAATCTTACTGTCTTCTAAGTAGTTGCCTATACCCTCAGACTTGATACTATCAAACAAAACAAAATAGAGTAGTATCAGTCAAAACAAGACAGTTAAAGCAATACAGGGCTTCAAATCAAGTTAATAGGAAATAAAAAATGGTTACCATAATATATCCTGCTATTTCTGGAATAGCTGTCCATGCCATCAAATCTTGTACAAGAAGACAAACTGAAACAAAATGAAACCAAACTAAACAGAATGATGAAAAACAATAGGGGTTTCAAATCATGATAAAAGATTAACAATGACCACTGCCTTCCCTTCTTAGACAATTCCTCCCCTTTGACTTTCACAGGGTGCATTGTACACTTTGCATCCCATTAACTCCTTTAGTTTTTAGATTAGGGAGGCAGCCAGCTATTCACCTAAGTGATTCTGAACCTTTTTACCCCTGAGCTTGTATCCATTTACCTCCAAGAGCTTCAAGGTTTATTTTCTTTATAGCTGAGTCGTTTTTCATTGTATAAAAGTGTTACTGCTTTCTAACCAATTTGCAGCTGATGGGCAAGCTGTCCTCACTTTTATCTGGTTCCTTGTCATACAGAGCACTGTTTTCTCATCTTTGACTTTCAGTCTATAAGCCCTCTTTGAGGGTTAACTGTATTTTTTGTATAGAATACTGATGACCCTAGCTCCTGATCCACTCTGCCTGTGTTTCTTTTTATTGGTGAATTGAGGCCATCCATATTAGTGGTTATAGTCATCCTTCTCTGCCTTATCTCTGTCATGTTATTTTTCTACCATTGGTTGTCCATTTTTCCCCTTTATTACACTGTCTGCCCCATTCAGTGAGTCCCCTCTGCCACTGTTCCTGAAACCATAGTCTTTTTTCTTTCTCTCTCTAAAATGTCCTTCAGTATCTTTGGTAGGGTTGGTTTGGTGGTCAAGAACTCCCCTGTTCTTTGTCATGGAAGTATCTTGTTTCTTCATTAATTTTGAGTCAGAGTTTTGTAGGACACATCAATCTGAGTTGAAGGTTATTTTCTTTCAGGACTTGGAATACTTCACTCCAAGCTCTTCTTGATTTGATGGTTTATGTTGAGAAGTCTGCCATGATTCTGATGGGTTTTCCTTTATAGGTGATCTGTTTCTTTTCTCTGACAGCTTTTAATATTCTGTTCTTGTGTTGAATTTCTGGGATCTTGATTATTATATGTCTGGGCATAGGTCTATTTTGGTTATAGCTGGCTGGAGTTCTGTATGCCTCATATTATCTGAATATCATTCCTTTTCCTATGCTTGTAAAGTTCTCTTTAACTATTTCTGTAAATAGCCTTTGTATTTCATTTGTGTTTACCCGTTTCTTCACTCACGTTTTTTATTCTTAAGTTATAGATCCTCTTGTCATTTTCTAGCCTTTGTATTGTTACTTCCTGATTCCTTATTCCTTTTTAAAAGATCTTTCCTTTCACGACTGCAAGCTGCAAACCTGTCCTCAAGGTTTGATAGTCTATCTTTAGTTTTTTTCATGCGGTTTTTCCAGCTTTCAATGGAGTTTTTAATTTCCTTGTAATCTCTTTGAATGTTTCATGTGTTCTAATTTTTTTATATTCTTTATTGAAGGTTTCCCTTTTTCTATGCTCCTCTATTCTTTCATCTGTGTCTTCTTTAGAGGTACTTAGCAATTCTTTTATTATGTTGCTCGTATCTTCTTTTACCTGTAATAGTATTTCTGCTCTAAGTTCTTTTATAGCTTCATGGAGTTGTTTCTTTATTTCAGTTGCTGTTGCTTCAAAAACTGCAGGTGTGCAACTCCTGATCTTTTCTGTGTTTACATCTCCTGGACCAGTACTGCTTGGCTTGGAGGCCAGAGACTACCTTTTGCTTCTTCCTCTTGTCATGTTCCTGGTTTCTTCTGGACAAGTGGGTAGTGGGGTCCCTGACACTTCTTGTATTGGTTATAATTACTCTGAAGTGTGTTGGCTAGGGGTTTCTGCTATTTGCTGCTTTCCCCAGTCTGCTGGTGGCTACTGGAGTGTAAGCAGGGGTAGAGCAGGTTGGCCCCTCCCTTCTGAGCTGATTAATCACAGTGAGTCTTCATCAGGTTAATGTGTACCACTGGGTGGGTGGGGTTGATTAGGGATAGCTTTAGGGAAACCTCAGCAGTGGATACTGGACCTTGCAGAGGTGGGACTCAGTCCTAGCAATTTCCACCAGTCTGCTCCAAGCTAGGAGTGGCTGAATGAAGCCAGCTGCAGTTCTGTCTCTAGGCTTATCCTGCCCAGCTCCAAAATGGCACCCAGCCAATTGCCCACTCCTGTGGGAGGACTGAGTCCCCCACACTCACTGCCAGCCAGTGAAGTTCTCTGGTCTGCTGCTCCCCTCTGCCACTGCGTCTCCCCGCCAAGGCCTTTAGGCTTGCTAGCCACCAGTTTCACTGTACCCATGCATCTTCGGGTTCCAAGAGCACTTTTGTCATGGTTATTCTGGCTCCAGTGAAAGCACTACCAGCTACCACCTTCTTCTGTTTAAGGTCTTTTTTTTTTTTTCCTCTTCAGTTCTCACTTTAGTTTCTTCCTGGGTTGAAGGGACCCACTTCTTTCCTTCTTGTCTTCTCCAGAATGCATCTGGACTATTTCTCTTAGAGAGGTATTTACTCTGCTGCTTACTGTTCCACCATCTTTCCAGACTCTCCAAACAGTGACACTTTAGATGTATTTAAAATATTATATCTTCTATGTTAATATTGCACAATGAATTAAAAATTAGCATACTTGGGTTTTGACCAAAGCATGAATTCCAATTCATTTACTGTAATAAATTAACCAACTCAGAGAAATCTGAGTTTTGAAGAACGTAATAAAGCTTTGAGTGTTTTAAAGAATGCATTTTAAAGGAAGTAAGACTGGGACTGGGGCTTCCAGAACCAATGCTCCAAAGAGGAGACGATAGGGAGCTTCAGATGAGGGTACAGCAGAAGAACCACTACTAGTGAAAAAAAAATTTCCCCACTCCCATCAGTCAGCAATGTTCAAAGTTCACTTTTCTTCAAAAAGTGAAAAGCTGAGGCAACAACAGAGCCAACTAGAAGATAATATATTTTATATGGGAGATAATGAAAACTTAGATCAGAATGGTGGAAGTGAAAATAAAGAAACAGATAAGAGATTGGGGTTGACTTTCTGTTTTAGCAATGGTCAAGGCTAAACCAACAGACCCAGTTAATAGTTTTACTTCCAGTATCTTCAAACATATGAAGAGAAAAAAAAAATCACAGCCAGGTGTGTTAGCACTAGCTTGTAATTACTGTACTCTCAGAATAGGAGTAATGAAAACTCAGGCTGGGCAACTTAGAAAGATCCTGTCTTACATAAAATAAAAAAAATAGGCTGGGGATGACATATGGGGATGTCATCAGGCTCATCATCAGGGTTCAATCCTTACCCAGAAAGAGGGAAGGGGGAGAGAGGGAGAGCAGAGGTGAAGAGGAGAGGTGGGGAGAGAGGAAGAGAAAGGGAGAACAAGAAAGGTGAGAATGAGACTAAAACAATGAGGTCAAACTAGTGGGTGTCAAAAATATTCATAAAGCACTGCAACGAGAAAGTATATATAGCTGACAATAAGAATCCCCATGAATCTAGAAAGGAACTAGTTGTTTGTGTAAGTTTCAAGGCTAGGACTGAAAATTGCTGCCATAAACCTTTCCTTAGCATATTGCCCTAGCACAAAGGGAGTTTCAGTGAGGATGGAGGAGACCTCCACTTTCAATTCCACTAGGAATGGAAGCCATATGGAGGTTAGGGAAAATCCAGACTAAGTACACAGATCTATCAAGATTAACCATGACCTCTTTTGCCCATTCTGAGACACTGTTAAAGCACAAAGCTTGGTGTTAAATATGCTTGTAATCCTAGCTCTTGGGCAGGTAGGAGGATCACATGCTCAAGGTCAATGTGGGCAATTCAGCAAGATCCAGTCTCAAAAAAACAAAACCAAACGGACACCCCCCACACACACTGTGCCCCAAAAAGCAAAGCAAAGCAAAGCAAAGCATCCATTATACTGAGGGATGGGCCCTGGTAGTTGATAATGAATTCTAACACATATTCACCCAACCATCATTATTATTTCATGCCTACCATGTGCCAGATGCTATTACTTTAGCTTCTGAGTGAAAAACAGCAGTCTGGTAGAAGAATCAAGCAGTTAGTGGTCCAAGGAAGGACAAAATGAGTTATAAACTAAAATTTGATGTTGAAGATTAGTGTTGAGGGTAGGATTCAAGTAAAGGAATAAGAGCATATACAAAAACAAATATTAAATAATCCTTCATACATTTTTTTCTACAGACACTATGTCTCAAATATTATTACTATTGTTCTACAAGGTACCACAGTGGGCCAGTGGTATGCTCAGTTGTACACTGTTTACCTAGCGTGTTAGTCAAGGTCCCCAGCACTACAAAAGGAAAAAACCATTTAGCTGGTAGCACAGAAATCTACAACATTAATGGATGTTAAGGGCTTAAAATTAACACCAATGAATAAATTTTCAGAAATATCACCATTAAGTAGTACTGTTTATTTCTCCTAGAGAAATTTAGATACTCCTTATAAATATATAGATGATTTATGTCATAATAGAAATCTACAAAAAGCCAACTGCAACAGGGAGGTAGATGCTGTGAAGATGGGGAGGTGATATGGGGAAGAGAGAAGGGAAATAAAAATGATCAATGTGCCTATGTAAAAATTAACCCAGATGAATGTAATTATTATATATTGCAAACATATACCAATAATAAAAAATCTTTCACTTGTAAAATGTAAGTGGAAAACACTTAAAAAAAGAACTTGCCCAAAAATAGGCTCATTTTTGCCTTGTAGTGGCTTATGCCTACAATTTCAACATTCTGGAAGGCTGAGGTAGGAGCATCAAAAATTGCAGACAGGCAGAGTTAAATTAGTTCCACCCTAAGGAATTTATACTCTTGTTGGGTTACATTTCCCTGAGGTGGAGTACTGTACTTCAACAGTGGCTAATTACTCAGCGGGGTCAATTTTTTCCAGAAATCTAATTAAAATGGACAATTTGGTCAGCTTTTGATGGTATTATCCTTGTTCACTTCCTCTTTCTTTTTGACAGAGGCCTGTGCCAGTACTGAGAAATAAACGTTCATCATATGGTGTAAAAATTGTACACCATATGATGGAGAAAATAATGCCTCCCTCAGAAAAAGCACTTATGACTGTTCTGCAGTCTCTGGGTGTCCTTGGCTAGAAATCAACGGTCAGGGAAAGGCGTGAAGAAGAGAAAAACTCTGGGGAAGGAAAAACCCAGGACCTGTGCACTTGGGAAACGCTCGCTTCCCCTTGGGGACATGGGAAGCCTGGAGAACATTTACACCCACTCACCCACTGACCCCTTGGAGCGGGCTCAGGTGGCTAGGCCCTCTGCAAACAAGCGCCAGAGCTCGAGGTGGGGGCGTGCCCCCTAAGAAGAGGAGTCTTCGGGTCGGGGCTCCGGGGCATGGCAAGTCGCATAGAGTTCCGGGTCTTTAGCGCCGAGCCTCGGCCCCAGCGCGGCTCAGGCAGCCGACGGCACTGCGCATGCCCAGCCGCGCCGGCGCTCCTGGGCGGGGCCGAGCTTTCTCACCGCGGCGCCGAGGCTCCACCCTCACAGGGTCCGCGGGGCTGGGGCGGAGATGCTGCCCTGGCAGCTGCCGCCCTGAGTCTCAGCCCGTCGGAGGTGGCGGCGAGGCCGGCTGCGGGGAGTTGCAGCCGCTCCAGCAAGCGCGAGCAGACCGCTGCTGGCTGAGCGCTGCGGGTTCCACGAGGCCAGGCGGCGACCGTGAAGCCCCGCGCCCCTGCGGTCGGAGGTCCTCACTCCCATACCCGTACTGCGGAGTAGTCGGCCGCAGCGGTGGGGCAGCTGGCCCTGCGCTCGTCCTTCAAGGGGTTCGCCAGGGCGGAGCGCCCAGGAGTGAACTTGGGCTGAGGGAGGGGCTTAGCCCGCTTACTTGAAATGTGGCCGGCGTGGGAAGGAGGGAGAAATGCAGCTGGCCTCTGACAGATGGAGTGTCGGAGTGGACAAGTAAACTCAGGCTGGTGCATTTTATCCAAAGTTGATGCCAGATTGCCATAGTTCAGTTAAGAGGCCGCTCCTCTAGTGGCAGTGTTACAAGCAAGCTTAGATAGAAATGTTATAGTCAGTCAGATTGTCTAAGGAGCCAGTGCAGAAGATGAGATACCTTGCAACTGTGGGAGAGATAGACACTTCTGCTGTGGGCCAGACCTCAGGACAAAAATAAATTGAAATTACCCACATACTTCTAAGGATAAGCATCAGTAAGTGAGGTCTCTATCACCCTGAGGAAGGCAGGAGTCAGTAACCCAACCCCCTATAGGAAGAGTCCCAGTGCTCTTTAAGCATTCTTCCTTCCTAGGCGACTCACTTCCCAGTTTGTCCCCGATTTCAATTTTCCCTGAGCAACTTTATCATATTGGTTGACCATAGCTTTGTCCCACCTTGCAGTTTCCCATTTTTCCGTACCTTGGACCAGCCTCATCTCATGGTCTTGCTCTATAAAAATCCCTAGAGATGGCAGGGTCCTTGGCAACCCACCCGGGACTCTTGTTTCTCAGACAGGAGCGTTCTTTCTCTCAATAAATATAATCTGCTCTTTACCTCTGTTGTTCCTAAAATTCATTCTTCGATTTTAGAGAACATGAAGTCTTACTGGACATCTAGTAGGTTGGGAGTTTTGTTCCCCTGTATCACCAGATGCTTTTTTAAAATGACTTTTAAATTAAAATGACTTTTAAATTGAAACATGAAGGTACCAGGATGCTCTGTGACTGCACAATCTTACTTTTTTTTTTTAATGATACTGGAAATGGAGCCCACAACCTTCACTCTGTGCTAATTTAAAATTCTTTTATATTGAGATAAGATCTTGCTAAATCCTTAAATCGACCAGGTTGGGTTTAAACTTGGAATCCTCCACCTCAGTCTCCGAAAGTCCTGGAATCACAGGTGTGACAGCACAAGACTTAGCCTTCTGTAATAGATATAAGGGAAAGAAACTCACAACCTGCTAAACGTCCAGTAGGACTTCATGTTTTCTAAAACCGAAGAATGAATGCCAAAGATTCCGTCTTTTCTAGGGACTTTTATAGAGTAAAATCATGAAGTGAGGTGGGTTCAAGGTGGGAAAAACTAGGAACTCACAAGGCAGATGGGCATAAGGTGGGACAGAACTATGGTTAACCAGTAAGATTAATTGTTCGGGTAAAACTGATTAAATTGGGGGCAAGGAAGTGTGTCATATAGAAAGCCGGCATTCTTAGGGAGCAGCGACTCTTCTTATAGTGGGTTGGGATGGTGACTCCTGACTTCCTCAGGCTGATTGAGAACTATTTAGAATATCAATCCTTAGGATGTGGGTACATTTGTTTGATCTTTTGTCTTGACCCACAGCAGGAGGTGTCTGTCTCCCCACAGTTGCCAGGTATTTGGGCTTCTGCACTGCCTCTTTGAGGACCCAGCCCTGTCTCACTGCCTGTGTTTCTAACTCAGCTGCCTGTAACACTATTAATGTGCTAAGAATGAATGGCATCAGCTCTGGGCAGTTGTGCATGCCCTGTGTGGTGACTGCTAGCCACCTCTATTATAATAATGTATAGAATACATAGAATAATTGAGAGTCACTAGTCATTTCATTCTTAAAATTCCACCTGGAATACAAGGGGTTTTTTGTTTGTTTGTTTGGGTGGTTGGTTTTTGCCCCTCCTCATCCTCTTTCTTTTAAAAAAAGCTTCATGACCAGGAGCAAGAGCAGTTAGGGCGAACACACCAAGACTCAAAGCTTGTTGAAACAAAAGAAACTGATAGAAGAGTCATAATGTTACAGGCAGCTAAGTTAGATAAAATATTATAGGCAGGCCCCACCTGAAGGAGCCAGTGCAAAAGACCAGCTATCTTGCAACTGTGGGAGAGATAAATCTCAACAAAAGATAAAACAAATGCACTCACATCTTCAGAATAAATATCTGGGATTGATATTCTTAATACGTATCCATCACCTTGTGGAAGCCAGAAGGAGCCACTAGCCTAACCCCCTACGGAAGAGCCTGTGTTCTGCATTCATGCCCACTTGATATGTGACTCCATTTGAACCTTATTTAATCAGCTTTACCTTAGCAATTATAATTGTATTGGTTGACCATAAATCCGTCCCACTTCATGCCCACCTTGTGAGTTCTCATTTTTCCTCATCTTGGATCCACCTCACCTTATGGTCTTGTTCTATAAAAATCCTTAGAAAAGGCAGAGTCCTCAGGGATCCCTTCTGTCTTTCTCAGACAGAAGCTTTCTTGCTCTCGATAAATATATTCTACTCTTAACCTCCATTGTTCCTAAAATTCATTCTTCAATTTTGGAGAACATGAATTTGTACCAGAAATGCAGTAGGTCAGGAGTTTCATTCCCCTATATCAGTAGTTTCTCATCCACAATGTGCAAGACTTGCACTGACCTGACACACTACTAGGGCATGTTTGGTCGGCAGTCTGTCTCTCTACATTTAATACTCTCGTTCATGTCCTCTTAAGAATAGGAAGCAGAGAGAGAAATTTAAGGGCAGAAAATTCAGGGAAGATTGGTTTGATTGCTGGTTGGAAGTTCCACTAGACTTAACAGGATTTTATAAATAAAACTTTGTAGTATTGATGATTGAACCCAGGGCCTTTTCAATGAGCTATACTCCCAGCCCTTCTTTAAAATTTCAAGACAGGGGATCTCATTAAGTCGCCCAAACTGAATTCACATGTGTAATCTTCCTGTCTCAGCCTCCCAGAGTACTGGGATTACTGGCCCTGTACCTGGTTTATAAGTAAAATTCTAAATACTAGAAAATAGAGCACATACCAGTCCTTTTTAAGTTACTATCTTGGCTAAGTTAGAAAAGTTTCTACCAAAGATACTCAAAACTCATGGGCGTGATCAGTGTTTGTTTTAAACAATACATTAACTTTCATTCTGTTCCAACAAGATTGTTAGTTGATGTGAGTAAGAGCAGTGCAAGATGAACCCTTGCCGTGAGGAATTTTTCATGGATAACCCTGTCCCCAACTTTATCTGCTTTTCAGTGTCCCCAAAGACTTGTACTGTATCTGTCCTCTATCCACCCCCCTCAGACTCATGTGTTGCCTCTGCTTGGTCTTGCATTCTTATGTTCACGAAGGCCTCCTGCCTCATTCTACTGAGTAGCTAGGTCTACAGGCAGCACTAGCTTTTAAAAAATGTTTTATTCTAGATCCTTTCTGTCAGAAGAACTTATGCTGGGAAAGCATTGCTAGCTAGTGTGCTTTCCCATAAAGCCTCGAGGTGTATGATGACTTTCTGGTGAATGTTCAGTAGGCACCTCTTTACTTATGTGCCAAATGGGCTACGGAGTTTATCTGTTTTTGGGTAGCTCCTTTCAGAAATGTCTTGCTAAATAAAATTTTACTGAGTTTTGGAGTACTTGCCTGTTGGTTTCCAGGTTTTCCTTGTCTTGAACCAGAATTTGAAAGTTTATTTCAATAGTTTATTTGAAAAATTGAAAGTGGATGTTAAGGGAGAAACTGGCTCTGCACAGTGAACTTGAGCTCAACAAAAGAGAGGAAAAATTGAAATCCAAAATACACTGGTACCTTGGTTCATGAACTTAATCCTTTCCATGATTCTTGTTGCAAACTGAACCAGAAGAAACTGAGTCAAATTTCCCCAATAAGGTCAACACTGAAGCTAATTGAATTTGATTCAGTTCTCATCCAATTTGGTTTGTGACCAGAATTGGGGAAAAAATTAAATTTGTGAATCAACATACCACTATAAAAGTACATGCTGGAATACACAGGGCAGGCTACTGTGAGGAAAACCACTGTAACAAGCTCCTCATGGTGTCTGTGTCCTTGTGTTCTGACTATGCCTTAAGGGACCCCATGAGAAGTCCAAATGTGGGGCCTTGGAAATTGTCTGGGGCATGTCTCCTGGGATCTGTTCATATTTACTCCACCAACCAGCTTTGCCATGACCTACCTTCCTGTCTCACATCCTTGCATATCACTAATTTTTATCCACAGCTCTTCATCATCTGCCTAATGACTTAATTTCTTCCTCCTCAAGTTCCATTTTCTTCATATTATTACAGATTATGTAAGTATCCTTTTCACTTTCCTTTCTTCCTTTCTTTTTTCATTCTTTTTCTTTTTTGCTCTTTTTGTGGTGTGGGTGTTGCTGAGGGTAGGATTTAAGTTTGAGCCTATCTTAGGCCATTTAGCAATTTAACAAGAACTTGTCTCAAAAATTTAACAAGGCCTTGTCTCAAAACAAAAAGAAGTGTAAAGGCCCTGGATTCAGTCCCTAGAATTGTAAAGAAAAAAAACGAAGGAAGAAAAGAAGAAACGAAAAATTTAAGCCAACACTGGTAATTCTGTTTTGCACTTTAACCATCAGTTGGCTTATTGTATAGTCTTTATGTTTTGTTTCTAAATTATAAGAAATAAAGAGATTTTGTTTGCAAATTTTTTTTCTGAAAATTCATTGTGAGCATGGATAGCCCTTATAACATCATTATAATTTTATTGGCATTGACATTTAATGCTGTAGAGATGGCTTGATACAGTATATAAAATTTTTTAATCAGATGAGCACAATTTATAGGACATAATGAAGATTATCTTGAGATAAATTTGCAGAATTATCATTCTTAAGCTCTGTGAAATTGTATTTCAACATCAGTGTTCTTCATTATGGACATAATTATCTTAAATGTTATTTAAAACAATAATAATTAATACCTAAGTGTCAAAATCTACAGTTTGTTTTGTTCTGGGTGATTGAGTGTTTGTCAAGGGCACCACTCAGCACATGTGGAGGTTCTCAGATGGTTCTGTAGGGTAAAAATGGAAATGAAATTGGACTTCACTAACACTTCGTAATGGCAACCCTCTGGAACATCTTTCA